GAATATTGAAAGTGCCATGGGCTGCCAAAAGAACCAACAGATCTGTGTTGGAAGAAGTACAGCCAGAGTACTCCTTGGAGGCCAGGATGGCCAAACTTCATCTCTCATGCTTCGGACATATTGTCAGGAGGGACCAGTTGCTGGAGAAGGATACCATGTTTGGTTGGGTTGAAGGTCAAAGAAATAGAGGAAGATCCCAAATAAGATGGATTGGCAAAGTGGCAGCATCAGTGGACTCACACGTGGCAACAATAGCGAGGTTGGGTCAGGATCAGGCAGTGTTTCATTCTGCTGTACATAAGGTCCCTATGAATCAGTACCGACTTGATGGCACCTAACAAAGACAGCAACAACTTACACTTTGTCGGCCAGGTAGTTGACTTCCATGTTTTTTTGCATAGACGAGTAAATACTTCTAGTGTTTTATCCATTTGTTGAAAGCATGTTGTTTTGTTGTCTTAAGTGTCGTCAAGTTGGTTTCTACTCCTAGGGCCTCTATGTAGCATTTCCAAGTAGCAACTGATTGGTTTGATCTGTCAGCCATGCGGCTCACAATCCAGTGCTTATCTTGCAGCCCACATCAGGAATCTGTATTATGCATGTTGCTCGTTCTTGTTAAGTGTGTTGAGTTGATTCTGACTCATAGCAACCCTACGTACAACAGAACAAAACATGGCCCGGTCCTATGCCAACTTCACAATCATTGGCATGCTTGAGCCCATTGCTGCTGCCACTGTGCCAATCCATCTTGTTGGGGTCTTCCTCTTTTTCACGGACCCTCCACTTTATGAAGCATGATGTCCTTCTTCAGGGACTGGTCCTTCCTGACAATATGTCTAAAGTATGAGAGATGAAATCTGGCCATCCTGGCTTCTAAGAAGCATTCTGACTGTACAGAATGCTTCCAACACAGATTTTTTTTTTTTTTTTTTTTTCTGGCAGTCCATGATTCTTTTAATATTCTTGTTCAACACAATAACTCAAATGTATCATTTATTGTGTGGTCTTTCTTATTCACTGTCTAACTTTCATGTGCATATGAGGTTATTGAATATACCCTGTGTTTGGTCAAGTACACCTTAAACTGACATCTTTACTCTTGAACACTGAATAGTGGATACTTCATCAACATCGGTAGAATAGAGGTGATGTGGTAAATAAAATGCTTTGGATCTATAAAACGTATACAAATTGTAGATCTGACTTACAAATAGAGTAGCATGTTTCTTAATTAGAATGGCCAGCATTTAAATGTGTAATTTTGGGCAAGTTATTTTATCTCTATTGAATAAGATATCTTCTTTGCATTGAAGTACTGACTGTTATTGCTTGAGATAATTACAAGAAAAGTTTCCGGCACTTAGTAGGTGCTCAGTAAATTTTAGTCATTGTTTTCTTTTTTTTTAAGCCATTGATTTCTGCATTTGTAGTTTGTTAGTCTTTTGCAGCAAAGATGCTATTATTATACTTGCTGGTTGAAGTTAGGTAAATTTGTCTTTCTTCAAATACATTTTCTTTAACCACAGTATATCAGAGTGAGATGGTTTCTATAGTAAATTGTATTTGCTTGCAGGAATGTGGAAGTACTCCGTGTTTCCCCATTGATTCTTCATTTGGTTTTTCTTGTTATCCTAGGGCTTTGGTTAGGAGTGGAATGGGACAACCCTGAGAGAGGGAAGCATGATGGCAGCCATGAAGGGACCGAGTATTTTAAATGCAGGTAAGCTTTCACGACGAATTGTTTTATTTTTAAGGTTTTTATTGTGGATTGAGTGAAAGTTTACAGGGCACATCATCAGTTTCACATTCAGCCATTCGTATGATTTGTTTCATTACATTGATTACAATCCCCTCCATACATCATCAGTCAACAGTGTTTCTCTCTATCCTCTTTGGCTTTTCTCCTTTTTTGGGGGGGTGGGG